TCAACGTGGCGTGGGAAAAAGAGAAGCTCTTTGGGAATAGGGTGGGGATGAATGCTTTAGGGCTACCCTGTTTCCTGAAGTAAGTTTGGCAAGAGGCCTTTTGTCTTGTAAGCACCACAGGTCCCCCTAAACTTGCCTGTGACTGAGGACTGTCCCCAGGCTGGGATAGCTATGCACTAACCAACCCCTGAGCAGTCTTTGGGAAAGAACAGTCACATCCCTAATCCTTACCCTCACTCCAGTAGTCACCTCTTAAGAGCCCACCTGTGGATGGGACGTGTGTAAGAAGGGAGTGTGAACTCTTGAGCCAGGACCCTCTTGTCACACCCTATCCTTAACAAGAAAAGAAGAACTGAACCAGATCTGGGGCTCACCTTCGAGAAGTAGGTTTTCTTTGGCATCCAACATCTGCACACTCTGAGCACCCCCACTGAGTTCTCAGCCACCTTTAAGAACAGAAAGCAGAATCAAGAGTTCTTCCTTGTATATTTATGCTTTCTAGTCTAGGTGGGACCCTTAGTCACTTTGTTTGTCACATTCAGCCTTAGCCTGAACATGAACTTTTAGAAGGGCTGGGACTTAGAATCCTAGATAAGCTCATTAGATTGGCTTTTCTGGCTCTGCTTCTGTCAGTTATGTAATCATTTCACAATTTGTCATCTTTCTCTTAATACTTCCTTTAAGTCTTCTAGTCTCAAATGTGGCATATGTAATTGCCCCTCTTTATGTCTGAATATTTAGACTAGGCTTGCTGTGGGAGAGATGGACCCCATCCCATTCTTTCTTGCATGGATTTATTTTCCTTCCTTAGCTGTTAGAATAGGAAATGCAGGTTCTTTTTGGAACAGGGAGCTTTTCCTCTCTTAAGTAATCATCTTTTACTTTAACACACTTTTCCCCCATGAAAGTCTTCATGCAATTTTATAAACATTCAGAAAGACTGAAAGAATTGTACAGTGAGCACCACATATCCACCACCTACATTCTACAATCAACATTTTGCTTATATTTGTTTTATCACATGTCCATCTAGCAATCCTTCTATCTGTTCATCAATCTCTTATTTTTTTATTTATTTCAAAATAAGTTACAGATATCAGTACATTGAGTCTAATCACTTCAGCATACATAATTTTTATTAGAATTTGATATTGTTTTATGGTTCTTAGGTAAAACTTTATATACTATTTACTATCCTTTAAAAAATGCTTTTACAAGGTAGTGCCCTTTATATTTTAAAATTTGAGATGGATAGTTTATATGTTTGATGGCTCTCTACTTTTCCATTATTTTAGTAAACTAGGTCATCTTGAAGCAAAGTAGACAATTCACTTATAAATAGATGAACTTAAATTTTATTTTTCTAACAACGTCTTGTCCAGCAGATGAACAGATGACCTTAAACTTTTAACAATGAGCTAAGGAAGGTTAATGATCTTTGCTGCCTTTGTGTATATGAAAAGTTATCTATAGCATTCATTCCCCAATAATGTAATGTCTCTGCAAGTAAGATCCTAAGATAGTTCTGCATGTGCTCCATGAAATGGACAGTACCTCATCTATTTTTGTTACAGATTTATTGAGATATAATTCACATACCATACAATTCACACATTTTAATGTGTACAATTCAGTAGGTTTTAGTATGTTCAGAGTTGTGTAACTCTTACCACAATCAATTTTAGAACATTTTCACCATCTCCAAAAGAAATCCCATACACATTAGTAGTCGCACCCCGTCTCCCCATAGCCTCTCCAGCCCTAGGCAACCACTAATCTATTTTCTATCTCTAGAAATTTGCTTTGTCCACACATTGCATATGGATGGAATCATATGTGATTTTTTTGTGTTTGGCTTTTCTTTGGCATAATGTTTCAAGGTTCATCCATGTTGTTATCATGTGTCAGTACTTCATTCCTTTTTATTGTTTATTTTTATTTTTCGTTTGAGATGGAGTTTTGCTCTTGTTGCCCAGACTGGAGTGAAATGGCACACTCTCCACTCACCGCAACTTCCGCCTCCCGGGTTCAAGCAATTCTCCTGCCTCAGCCTCCCGACTATTTGGGACTACAGGTGCTGCCACCATGCCCAGCTAATTTTTGTATTTTTAGTAGAGCCGGGGTTTCACTATGTTGGCCAGGCTGGTCTCGAACTCCTGACCTCATGATCTATCCACCTCGGCCTCCCGAGGGATTAGAGGTGTGAGCCACCACTCCCAGCCTATTTTTTATTTTTTTAAAGACATGCCTCACTCTGTTACCCAGGCTGAAGTGCAATGGTATGATCATAGCTCACTGCAGCCTCAAACTCCTGGGCTCAAGCGAATCTCCTGCCTCAGCCTCCCAAAGTGCTGGGATTACAAACTTGAACTACCATGTTCATCCCATTCCTTCTTATTGACAAACAATATCCCAGAGTATGGATATACTACATTTTGTTTACTCATCTGTCAGTTGATGAACTTTAGGTTTATTTCCACCTTCGGCTATTATGGTCTATGAAATCGTCTAGAAATTTTAGTGGGGACACATGTCTTTATTTCTCTTAAGTATACACTTAGGAGTGGAATTGCTGGCTCATAGTAGGATAACTCCATGCTTAACGTTTTCAGGACCCATCAAACTGTTTTTCAAAGCACCTGCACCATTTTACATCTCCACCAGTAGTGCATGGGTGTTCCAGTTTCTTTGTCGACACTTGTTACTATCTATTGTTTTCATTCTGGCCATACTAATGGGTGTGAAGTAGTATTTCATTGTGGGTTTTGATTTACATTTCTCTGATGACTAAGGATGTTGAGCATCCTTTTTTGTGCTATTGGTCATTTCTATATATTCTTTGAAGAAATGTCTACTTAGATGCTTTGCCAATTTTTAAATTTTGTTATTTGTCTTTTTCTTATTGAGTTTAAGAATTCTTTATATATTCTAGAAATAAGTTCTTTATCAGAAAAATGATTTGCAAATATTTTGTTCCATTCTGTGGGTTATCTTTTCACCTTGATGATGCCCTCTAAAGTGCAGAGGTTTTTAAATTTTGATGAAGTTCCATTTATCTAGTTTTTTGGTCACTTTTGCTTTTAGTGTCACATCTAAGAAAGTTTTGCCTACTCCAAGGTCATGAAGATTTTCTAGTTTCTTCTAACAATTTTATAGTTTTAGGTCTGTGATTCTCTTGAAGCTAATTTTTGTGTATGGGGTGAGATAGGGGTCCAACTTTATTATTATTGTTGTTATTATCTTTTATACATACGGATGGGCAGTTAGCCCAGCACCATTTTTTATAAGGACTATTCTTTATCCATTGAATAATCTTGGATCCCTTATCAAAATTCAATTGATCATAAATGTAAGGGTTTTATTCTGTACTCTCAATTCTATTCCACTTATCTTTATATTTATCCTTATGCCAGTAGCATACTGTCTTGATTGTTCTAGCTTTGCAATAAGTTTTAAAAATGGGTGATGTGAGGGCAATCTGGCTGTGACATCTGTCACTCCATTGATTGCTAGGGTTGATTTGGCTGATCTGGCTGGCTAGGCAGGTATCCACTTCTTCCCACACTGCTCCACATGCATCCCTCCTGAAGCTGCGTGCTCAGTCGGAGGACAACCATCCTGATAAAGCAGGACCAGTCTTCAGTCAAGGGTATATGAGTAGCTGCCCTTCCTAGCTAGAATCTCCAAACAAGCTCTCAAGGCCCATTGTAGGAGAACGTAGAGTAGTCAAACTTCCAAGATTTCAGACACATCCAAATGAGGCGCTGCATGTGACAGTCTGCCTTTAAAAAAAAAAGTGGGAAATATGACTTCTTAAACATTGTTCTCCTTTTTTCAAGACTGTTTTAGCAATTCTGAGTCCCTTGTATTTTCGTATGAATTTTAGCATCAGCTTTTCAATTTTTGCATAAAGTCAGGATTTTCACGGAGACTGTGTCGAATTTGTAAATCGATTGGGAGACTATTGCTATTGCCATCTTTTTTTTTTTTTTTTTTTTTTTTTTTTTTTTTTTTTTTGAGACGGAGTTTTGCTCTTGTTACCCAGGCTGGAGTGCAATGGCGCGATCTCGGCTCACCGCAACCTCCGCCTCCTGGGTTCAGGCAATTCTCCTGCCTCAGCCTCCTGAGTAGCTGGGATTACAGGCACGCGCCACCATGCCCAGCTAATGTTTTGTATTTTTAGTAGAGACGGGGTTTCACCATGTTGACCAGGATGGTCTCGATCTCTTGACCTCGTGATCCACCCGCCTCGGCCTCCCAAAGTGCTGGGATTACAGGCTTGAGCCAACGCGCCCGGCCTGCTATTGCCATCTTAATGATATTAAATCTTCCAGTCCATGAGGATCGATATTTTTTTCATTTATTTAGGTCTTTTAAATTTGCAACAATGTTTCGAAGTTTTCAGTGTACATTATTTCATTCTTTTGTTAAAATTGAATTGTTTTCTTAATTTCACTTTCAGATTGTTCACTGCTAAAATATAAAAATACAATATTTTTAAATGTTGCTCTGTATCTTTCAACCTTCTTGGGCTCATTTCTTTGATGTTTTTGCTTTTCTTTTGAAACAGGGTCTTGCTCTGTCAGGCCAGAGGACAGTGGCACAATCATAGCTCACTGCAGCCTCGAACTCCTGGTCTCAAGCCATCTTCCCACCTCAGGCTCCTAAAGTGCTTGGATTATAGGTGTGAACCACCATTCCTGGCCTGGACACATTTCTAATAGTTTTCTGGTGAATTCCTTAGGATTTTTTATGTATAAGATCATGTCATCAGCAGAGAGAGAGAGTTTATTTTTACCTTATCAATCTGGATGCTTTTTTATTTCTTTTTCTTGCATAGATCTCTTTTTCGTTCCCCTTTTAGGAGGAGTCTGGCATGTCTCATGAATCAGCAGAGGACTTATTTCATTTTAATGTAGGGGGCTGGCATTTCTCCGTTCCCAGAAGCAAACTCTCTCAGTTTCCAGACTCCCTGCTGTGGAAAGAGGCTTCAGCCTTGACCTCTTCAGAAAGCCAGAGGCTATTTATCGACAGAGATGGTTCCACATTTAGGCACGTGCATTATTACCTCTACACCTCCAAACTCTCCTTCTCCAGTTGTGCAGAACTGAACTTGCTGTATGAACAAGCATTGGGTTTGCAGCTGATGCCTTTGCTGCAGGTAAGATGCTCTTGTTTTCCGGGAGTGGTAGATCAGTAACATGACTTTACATCACTAAATGTTGTTTCCTTTTATATATTGGTTGCTGAGATGACCCTCTTAACAGGCAAATGTAATAAATGTGTTAAAGTAATAAATAAGTTCCTTATCAGTATAAGGGTAAGAAGGAAAAAAAGTAATATAAACAATGCACTGAAATTACCTGTTTTTGTCTTTTTGAGACAGGGTGTCTATTGCAATCACAGCTCATTGAAGCCTCCACCTCCCAGGCCCAATGATCCTTCCACCTCTCACCTCAGTCCCTCTGAGGAGCTGGGAACACAGGTGCATGCCACCAGGCCTGGCCAATCCTTTCCATTTTTTGTAGAGAAGGGGTCTCCCTATGTTGCCCAGATTGGTACTGAACTCCTGGGCTCAAGTGATCCTCTCTAACTGGCCTCCCTAAGTGCTCCATTGGCCTCCCTAAGAGCTGAGATTCAGGCATGAGCCACCACACCCAGCCTACGTGTTCTTAATAAAGGATTTCATCCCAATTGTGCTTTAGTTATACTAGCAGCCACCATGGACCCGGGATGGGATTTATTATCCACTGAGAGGGTGCCCTTGGCTCTTGAAAATCCTATATTAAGCTGCTTCTTGTTTTTGTTTTTTGAATCTTAAAAGGAGAACACTTTAGGCATTTTAGGATTGCTATGTACATGTCTGAGATTTAAAATCTAAAAGATTTATCAAGAATATCACCTCTCATTGTGGCTGTTAGGTACATAACATGCATTTACAGCAAAGCAAAAAGTTCTTATCCTGGGCCACATGTTGAGAGTGAAAAAAAAAGTCCTGGGGGCCGGATGCGGTGGCTCACGCCTGTAATCTCAGCACTTTGGAAGGTCGAGGCGGGTGGATCATGAGGTCAGGAGATTGAGACCATCCTGGCTAACACCATGAAACCTCACCTCTACTAAAAATACAAAAAATTAGCCAAGCATGGTGGCACATGCCTGTGGTCCTAGTTACTCAGGAGGCTGAGGTAGGAGAATAGTTTGGACCCAGGAAGCGGAGGTCGCGGTGAGCAGAGATTGTGCCACTGCACTCCAGCCTGGGCAACACAGTAAGACTTCATCTCAAAAAAAAAAAAGTTCTATAGAATCTTTCCTTTGCCATCACTTCTTTGTTTTCAAAGAAACTTTTTTATTATTATTATAAGAACTCTAAATACCTTTACTTATAAACCATTAAAGTACCACCAAAAAATATTACCTTTCTTTCCTAATTTTTCTCCAAGTGACAGAAATGATTTCTGTGGCTGATCTTAAGTAGTTTATTCTGTAGTTTTTGAATAATTCTTTTTAACCTGGAAAAACTAAATATTACGACTGGGAAGGGCCATTGACCATCCTCCATATTAATCCCACTGTCTGGACAAGGTGTTTATTCCATCTGTATCAGCACTAACCCAACAAGCTGCAGTGCAGCTCAGCGTACCACCAACTGTACCTCAACACATTTTAGAAGAAAATTGGGATAAACCATTTTATCTGGGCCATGAGAACATTTCATAGTGCATGTTTTTATGGATGCTTCTTACTAAATAATTCAGTGTTTTCTCTTAAAAGTCATTCTATGTTTAGAAATCAAAACTTCTTTTTTTTTTTTTTTTTTTTTTT